CTAGGTTGTGATAGAGGCAAAAGAAATACGTTGCAAAAGTTTTGACACACTGTTCTAAAGATACTGACAAACTACTGTTCGCTCATTACCTCAAAAGTACCTCTTTGACTTTATGTCATGTGTAAAACAATTGATTTCCACAGAATAGTCACCACAGCTGCGTTCATCAAAATACATAAATTTTCTCACAAGAACAATGAAACTTCAATCATCGTTAGTTCACAACACTTCTTGTTTTTCTTACTCTTTCATACGTGCTTATTCAACGAAACTGTTCCTTTTTAATGACAAGTGAAGTTCCACTGTGTATAGATTTGGTGTTAAATTAAGCCGCTCTTCTTAACAATGTTCATCTATCGGTAAATAATTGAGGACCCTGACCTTAGCAGAGAATCCTCAAATATAACAAGATTTAGATAGTTGTAAGGGTTCATGTTGAAATAGTTGTACATAGATGGCAATGAAAAATAAACATCCTTGTTCTAATCATTGTTATTATTCTCTCTTTCTATACTCATGCCAAATAATGAAAAGTATAGTATCTTCATATTATGCCTAGTTCGAGGACAATGTTCAATGGTACAAGTGTAGACACTTAATATTTTTAAGTATTGTCATATAAAAAGTGGATATATACAGACAACAAAAAAAATCTTTGATTTGATTTTTTTTTGCTTCCAAGTAGCATAGAAACACATACTAAAAATATGTTAACTTTTGTAAATAATGCAAAATTTTAAAAAAAGTTTTAATGTCCTTCTGAGAACTTCAAATAAACAAGGACATGCCAAGTCAGTTTACATAGTCTTTATCAAATCGAAACAAGCTATTTTTTATAATCCTGCTGAGTTTTAAGAGAAAAAACTTATATTATGTGTTTATGGATTTCACATATTCAAATAAATCGTTCTTTTTACTATTAGAGTAATCTCTCACATCATTCTACAGCTTATAGAACTTTGAGTAGAATCAAAAACGATTGAATGCCTCAAGGATTATGTCTTTAACACGTAATGGTCAATAGGTTAATAAATAAAATATTTTTGTTTCCTGTCATAAATCCAAATGTTTCAAGGTGGAATTCTTTCAGAATAAACACTTATTTAATCACAGTAAGGGTTATGTACATTGACAGCTGCGGGTCATTGATATCTTTCTTCATTTTTCTCTTTCTATACTCTTTCAGTAAACTGAAGAAAAAAGAGAGAAGAATCCCATCTTTGATTAATCAGCACACACAAAGACAGAGACTTTCTAGCATTTTCTACATGCATTATACAGCAGAATGGTTATATTTGTATATATTAGATATTGTATATGATTGTTGTTGTACGTAATAATAGCGACCTATCGATTAGACAAAAACAGGTTATCTCAGCAAGAGGAAAAAAATTTTTCTTTTGCCATTTCATCTATAAAACAAATATCACACAAATATGAGATAATTAAAGCAGTTTGACCTAATTCTACCATAAGAAATTTATATACACTTACATTCTTAGCAATTTTCCTTTTTAGAAGTTATAAGTTTTTGTCCTTCTTGATAAATTAGAGCAAGAATGAAATAAGCTCTCGGTTTTTCCTTGTCTATCATTTCCGTCAACTTTGTTACATTGCGGGGTTTTAATCTTAATACGCCCACTGAAATACATGGCATTCTTGAATAAAATCAAAAAAACAAACTCCTTATATACTCCTAGCAAAAAACTGCTCTATGCTCTCATGGTAAAAACTGGTAGAAAACTGAGTTCAAATGGTTGAAGCATTTAATATTTGTCCAGATGAGCTAAATAACCAGAATTCATTTCAATCTATGGTATAGTTTAGATAAATAATGCCACTATGAAGAAAGCGAGAGTTTATCCCATTCTTGCTCTAATTTATCAAGAAGGACAAAAGATATTTTTCTATGTGTCGATAGGATAGAATATTAGCTGCACTAGCCACTATCTAAAAACTTCCTTTATCTCCAAAAATAACTTCTGAAAAGGAAAATTACTACATGTAAACTTCATCTGACAGAATTAGGACAGACTGTTCTGAGTAAATACAACTGTGACAAATTTTTCCTTATCCCGTTACAACTATATCATAATACATAAAACTCGATCATTTGTTTATCATTTTTTGTTTTGTCTATGGTCAAAAGACGAAAAAACATGCCACATCTAAAATTTGTATATTGGTAAGGGATAATATGGACCGTGCTCATCATATAAAACAAATAAATCTCGATACTTGTTAAGTAGAAACAGTGAAAAGCTTTTTGAGACTCTTTTCTCTAGAATAGAGATGTGCGGGATAAATATACGTCAGGCAAAAGGTAGGTGTAAATACAACAATTTTTCACAGAGCAAGGTATAACAATAGATTTCAAAGAGAAATAAAAATATCGAGCTATCTGATGATAAATTCTCTCATGCTGTCTCGTGAGCTCTTTCTCTGTTGTATATAATACAGTCGTTTTAAGTCTAATCATACAGCCGAAAGCGTATCATTATGAAACACTAAAAAATTACTAGTTTACTACTAGGATACATTTTTTTTCCCCTATTGAATAAAAAGTATCCAGTTAAGCGACAATTGATAGTAAACAAAATATATCTGATGTTGGCAAAAGTCAGAGTTTTTCGTTAAAAAATGTTTGAACTCGGATAATTGATTTATGTGGTAACATGAGGAAACCATGAAAAAACGATCAGTTTATGCAATCAGTAATCTCAAAAAAGCTTGAATAGGGCTTCGGAGAATCACTGTGAGACAGATGAAAAGCATTTTTTTCTCCGAATAAAACTTATCTAAGGTTGAGAAAAACATTTGATTGTGTTAAGTCAAGTAAAAAACACAAATCAATTTTTCTGGATTTTGAGTGGAAATACATAATTACACTTAAAGGGATTCATTGCGAAACGGATGAGCTTTTGATTAGACTGTTCAAAACTGACTATTTGATTTTCTCTCTATTTACTAATATACACAAGATCTCTTTAGATTCCCTCTTTAGCTATATTTTCATAGATGTGCACACTCACCATGCAACAACCCACTATCCTTCGCCTAAATTCAAACAATATGAAAAACTCCGCTACATTAACTATAGAATAGGTAATTACAATTTTCCTGTTGTGTTCAAAGTATGGATGTTTCGAAAGTATTTTTTGGCTTTTTGTGTTATCGGAATTTAGCGTTTGATTTCTTATATTTTTTAACGTTTTTAATGTACAAACAGATAAGGGGAGGGGGGGGGGGGCGGACGTGTGAAAAGAACTAAATATGAGTGGAACCAATTTTCTTGATAAATTTTCAACAAGCAGGAAGTATTGACTAGTATGAAATCCAGTGAAATGCAACATATAATCTTCCTGACAACATTAAAAAAATAACTCACAACCAATCTATTATTTATTGAAGTATTCTGATGAGAATTAGAAAATTTTGCACTTAATAACGCTTACAAGGGCGAGAGCATAATATAGTGTGAACTACTCAAAACTTTTGTGAAATAAAAATTGTGGTTTGATCTTTTTTCTTTACATGTACCAGCCACTTTCAAATCATATTATCGGTTTTTATCGAAACCTAGCAAATGATCACCGATATATTTCGATATCGTAATTTGGAGAATAACGGTCAGGTAACCGGAATAATGAAAAAGATCGGCAATGAACCGGTTCAACAAGTCAACCGATTGTTTGACTTGTTGAAGCGTGAACTTCGAGTCTAAATGTTTTTCAGACTATGTCTAAGAGTGCTGACTCGCAGAAAAATACTGTTCAGTGAAGAATTCCACCTTTAAGCGATGGTTTCATTGGTATATAAGAAATCAAAGTAGGAACAGATAGATTTAACTCTGTAATACCTTGACAATACAATTTTTTTTATTTTATTTCTTATGATATACGCACAAGAAAAGAAAAAAAACGTTATACAATCATTTTTCTTCTTCTTCATTATTCATTCATACAATTTTCTTCCGTATAATGTGTACAATAGCAACAAAAAGTTAACACGTCAATAAGGGTAAGGAAATTGATCTGCAGGAAAAGAAACCAGTCCTAGTGCTTTTGATTAATGTGAGCTGATTAAAAAAATACGAACGTTTAATATAAACCTATATAATTATATTAAAAAAGATCGTTTTTTGCTCCTTTATCTTTCTTAGCCAGTAATATTCCAACTTTCCCATTGATATGACAGGACTACGAACAGAGAGAGCAGATAAAAAAGTTCGAGATGACGTAGACCTCTTTTTTTGTGAAGACAACGTTTTTTGTTTATGCACAAGACCTTTATTCAAATTTAAATAAGTTTTTGGTGTTTAGATGTTGAATATGTAGTATCTTATCATTTTTCCATTGTGTATGTATTAGTCGACTTTACACCTTGAAAGTGTTGTGATGTATTGTTTCTTTCTATCTATCTGTTTAATGTCACACTTGCCTCTCAAGTTTTTTTTTTTTTTATTCTTAAAACAACATCTCAATATAGTTAAACGTTAGCCTATACCTGAATAATACATTGACAAATAGAACGATATTTTTCTTAGTAATTATAAATCGAATCTTCTACTGTTGATAGCCAATTATTTCGACATATAGAAGCAATCGTCTCCCTTCATATATGATAATACAATTGTGTATGTATACATACGGACTTTTTTTTCGTTTCTTCTTTTTTTTTCTTCTTCTATTCGTTATTCGAATAGTTTTGATGATCAAGGAGATTTACAAATGTACCTATATATCTGATGAAACAGAGAATATAATCTAAGAAAAAAAACTTTCTTCTTCTTCTTCTTTTTGAACAAGTAAAATGTAAACGGTATTCATTCGAGAGAAAATAAAGAAGCGTATATTTACATGTTATCAGTTAGTTTAACACACAATAAAAAGGTTTGACACCTTATAACGCGAACAAAGATTAGTTTGTTTTTGTTCAATCGACATAATAGAAAGTAAATGAATACATATGTTTGGAATACATTTGATGCCAACTGGCTTATGCACCGTTTAGGTCTCGTTAATTCTTATAATCATCGATATGATAATAATGATAATAATAATAATAATATTAATGTAAATTCTAATAATAATATTACCAGTTCATTAACAACATCATCATACTCAATTTCGCCTCAAAAACTGATTAGTAAAAATGAACCACCAATATTTCAGGTCACAAATCATCATCGTTATGTTCATTATCGTCCATCCTCAATGATGCTTTTTACTCTAATGGATAGTGCAGAATTAAAACAAGATGATTTAAAATTGAAAATAATGAACGATAATTGTGATGAGTCTGAAAAAGGTATTCGTATATTTTTCTTATCTCATATGAAATATTTAAAATAATTCAACTCTTCTTGTTTTATTTAAGATCTGCAACTAGCAGCTGAATTAGGAAGATGTTTATTGGAAAGAAATCAAGAATTACAAAATTGTATTAAAACATTACAACAACAAATAGAAGACAAAGATTGTGAAATTAAGGTCAGTAAATCTGTCAGTTGTTCAAACAAAAAAACTATTTAAAAGGTTAATCCTAAAACTATTCTTTGTAGTGAGAAATACTTTACATTAGGTAGAGCTTTAAGTAGTGGGTAGATGAACATCGATCCAATAATTAAAAAATTTTCCTTCTTTTTTTTTTGTAGAAAAAAATCATTAAAACATCTAATTTTTATATTACAAAGAAAATCTTTTTCTATCTAATAATATTTGGGGATTCTGGTCATTGATACGATATTTTGATTCACTTTTGTAGTCAACAATAAGTGAGATTGTTTATCAAATCTTATAAATAAGTATTGATTACATTTGAAACACAGATCGAAATAAGTTGTCATTGTTAATTATATAATACATTACAATTTTAAATTGAACGTATTAAAAACAAGTTTTTGTCAATCATATCAAATAGCCATCTGGACATATACTTTGAATAGTTTTTTGTATTAAATAATAGATATACACACAATTGAGGTAATGAAAGTGAAATTTAGTGTTTAATTACATGATATATAGACGTATTTAAAATGCCTCTTAATGTTAGAACAGCTGGTCATAGATGCGCCTAAAAAGTTCTTTAACGATAAAAATTTCTTTGTTGTAACAGCCTATTAGAGAGAAAGATATACAGAAATACATGATAAATCTTTCTTTGTATCTATTGATATAGCATGATATTTTCATCTTTATTTTATAGTTACTTGATAAACAACTTGAATCAACGCGTGAACAATTACAAATTAAATATCAATATGCTGAACATTTGGATCAACAAAATTTTGAATTTGAAAAACAATTAATGATTGAACAACGTGAAAGTGAACAAAATCGTCAGAAAATCAAACAGTATGTAATAGAATATACCATCAACATTTTAAGATAAGAAAAGTAGACTATTTTTAACAAATTATACAGCAATAGTAAATTAAAAGATAACATATTAGACTATTTTCTATTACCGAATTCATTATCTCTGTAAAACTAAAATTTATAAATTTTCTGTCATATTTTCAGGTTGACTGATTTATATGAAAAAATCCGTAAACAGTATATGGATATTGAACAAGATTATGAATGTTTTCGACGGCAACAATTAGCGAATAACTTTAATAAACAATACAAATCCTCACTATCATCATCTCTAAATATTTCAAAATCAAACGGTGTAAAACGTTATTCGAGTGTTGATACATTTTTTAATAACAACAAATTTTCAATAAAAAGAATTAATGATTATTCATTCACAACTCATCTACCGTTCTCTTCGAATGACTCATCGTCTATTCGTTGTCGTTGGTGTTTAACATTGGATTCAGCAATTAAAAATCGTTTTTCTGAATTTAAAAATAAATTGACTCTATTGACAAATGAAAATAATGAACTAAACGAAAAAGTATGTTTATATGAATATAATAATCATATATTACTTGAACGTTTGAAAACAGTTAATATTACAAGACAATTAAAAGATGAAAATGATCAATTACAGCAAGAATTAATAGAATGTAGAAAATTATTACGAATGAAAGATAGTTCAAGTAGTCAATCAGCCGATGAAAATAATGATGATAAATCATTCATCGAAGAATATTCAGCACCAACTATCTATAATAATAATAATAATAATGTGTCATTATATGATGAGGTTACTGGTCAATTTAATATAATAACTAGAAAATATGATGATTTAATACGAGAAAAATCGAATGAACGTAACGATATTGGTATTCAAGTATCAATAGCAGAAAATAAGCAATATACAAATACTAAAACGTATGAAGTAACGAATTATCGAAATTTATTTCAAAATATCTATGATAAATTGAAAATTAATCAAGAACAAACAATATTATTAGTTTAAAAAGTTCATTAAATATCATGCTCGTTTTTTCCTATTGTTTTTATTAAATCTCTTTTTGATCAAATTCGTAGCCAGATCTACATTTGTTTCTATTTAAATATATTTTCTCAAGTAATAGCAATAGTATTTCGTATCTCAACTTTTTATTTTTCATGTTTCAACAAAAACTTTTGAAATTATTTATCGAATGTTTATTTGCTTTCTTTTACTGTCATCGAATATTTTTGTTTTTGATTTATTTGTTTATTTCAATATTTTTCTTTGTTTATCTGTGTTTTCGTCTGTATGAAAACTGACGTCATCCGTTGTAACTATAAATGTTGAGAGAGAAAGTGTATATGTATGTACGAATGTGACTAGTGTTTTTTGTTCTTCTTAAAGCTATATTGATTGTATCTCTTTAAAAAAGACAAAACTTGTTCTATTGACAAATAGACAAACAGTTTAATAAATGAAGAGATAAAATATAGGGTAAATAAACGATTGAAAATAGTACAATTAAACTCATGTGTGCTTACCAAAAAGCTGTGTTAAATCGTTAACACTCGAAAAAAAATAAATTTGTTGATTATGTTTGACATCAGCTTAATGATGAACACGTTTGTTCGCTTCTGCAAGCAGACATTTGTTTCTATCCACAATACAAAAAATGAAGTAATCCTTAATAAAAACGAGTGATATTGTACGTCAGAGTGAGGCATTGCACTAAAAGGAGAAGTTTCAAAGTTTTTTTATTTATTTTGCTTCTTTCTCACTTTCCGTGTACTTGCAAACAAAATTAAAAACATATTAGAGATCAGTAGACAGAACTGCATCGTCCCATCTTGGTATCTTTTTGCGTTCGAGAGTTATTCGGAGATCAGGAAACTTAAAAATTAAGAGTCCTGAATTCGGGATGCTGATAAACAAAGGGTTTATGTAGAGGAAAGGCTGGGCTACAAAATGAGACCACTTCTAGCATTTCACGATCTTTCTTCAAAAAGTTATGAAGTTTTTAAGTTTTTCCTTCAAAGCCTGAAAAAAACTCCATGTTTTAGTTTTATAAATTTTTCTCTCCTTTTTTGTACATTCACATTTTTTCTTATATTTTGAACATAAAAATTGTTCATGGTCTATGCATTGATGACGTCATTAGAAGAAAAAAATTGCTACGAAGAAAGTTCACTAGAAAAAAATTAAATATGATCTTTAAGTTCTACATTTATTGTTTGTTATAAGAATACTTGACTTAAAAGTGTAAATAATTTGGACTTGACTAAAATGAGATCGAAGAGGTAGAAATGTGAAACAAGTGTACATGATAGGAATCAACAGTACTACAGCCAATGGGCATGTTATTTCCAGTAAATTGGTAGAAAAACAATAATATTATCATTAGTAATTGTATGTTCGCGTAACTATCCATAAGATAGAGAAAAAATTACATTTTCTGATGTAATGTAATGAATATTTTTATTAAAAAAATCTTTTTATCGAGAGATCAGAGAGATAGTCTATGCTATTATTTTTGTTTTTGAGACATACAAAAATATGTCGTCGATATATATTTATTGGAGCTTTTGAGAGAAAAATTTTAAAAAAAAGGGCAAAACAAGAGACACTACAAGAAGAAATATTGGTACACATATTCCATCTGAATACTTGAGCAAAGATTTTCCTACACATACACACACAGTTTACACAGAAGACAAACAAAAATTAAAACAGTATTTAACAATGAAATATGACATTGATCAAAACTAAAAAGAAATGAAATAAAAAAGAGAGTAACGATCTTTGAAAGAACTCTATTAACACTTTACATGCCTTTATCTAAATGCAATATTTATTTTTTCTAATGAGGAAATGTTTTATTTTTATGCATTTAAACCATGAGGATCGTTATCAACTTTATTTCGTAATGAGTTTGATTCACGTTTAAGAACATTAAGTAGAGTTTGTGAACTTTCCAATATCTAAAGATCAGGAGAAAATAAGAAACGTTATTTTGATAATTGAAGTTAAACTAGATGTGCAAACAACACCTACAGATATATATAGTTCCACGTTTCTGAGTCTTTTCTATCAATAATCCTGTGAAGCAGATAAAAATCAGAGTTTCCAAAACTGGAAGATATTTCTTCTTGCACCAGTCTTTCCCTGTTATTTCGAGTGTGATTTTATCTCTGTCTATCTTCGCTCTCAATGGCACACTCTTTCTCATGGCTAATTTTGAGTCAATCAACTTTTTCTTGAAATAGTCACAATATTCATCGGAATGCTATTTGTTTAAATAAACATAATAGTTCCGAATCCGAAAATCGTATTTTTTTCTTCTTATTAATTACTTACTTTCATATATGCTGCCTCCGTTTCACTAATTGTACGATCGAATTCTGTTCGAGCTGTGATTTTTTTTGCTAAATTTTCATTAATTTTTGACAATCTTTCACTCGCTTGTCGAACTTCATTTTCTATTTTATGTTTTTCTTCTTCTTCTATAATAATAACATAACATATCAAAATAATGTTCATAAACTACTTTTTGCTTTTTTACCAGTCATTATTTGACGTTGTAATTCATCACGTTTCGTACATAAATCCTCTATACACTTTACTAATTCATTGTTATAGTTTTGAAGAGCTGCTCCTTGTTGTGACATAGCACAAAAAAGACTTTAATCTAAAACAGAAATAATGTTCACCATCAATTAGCAGCGGCGCCAGGAATTTAGACTAGGGTGAGCTTGGCCTCACTGAATTTTGTAATGTAATTCAGAAAAAATTTTCTGGGTGGGCTGAGCCCATCCCAGCCCATCTGTGGCGCTGCCACTGCCATCAATGTTATTGAATAGAAAATAGACAGAACAAAATAGTTTGTTTTATTTAGCACATAGAATTAATTTAAAGAAAAGAAAACTTTGAAATTAGACGTAAAATATATCTTCATTTTTCTATAGTACTTTCAGCTTACATACACACAAACCTTCTTTACTAGAATAAAAAATGACAGATTTTCGTTCATATTTAGTGTTTTACAGTTGCTTCGTTGAGTTTCGTGCGTTTCATCGTTTACGTGACAGGATTCAACATTGCTGAAGTAACTGCCCTAATCATTAGCAAAAAAACAACGAAGACTATACTGTTCTAGTTCAAGAACAAGGCACAGCAACTGAATTTTGGTATGAAGTTCTACTAATGTGAAGTGTCAGGTTTCTACCGATTAAGTTAACTGACTAGGATCTAAAAAACAAAAAAACTTTAACGTTAGGAACGTTAATCTTTTTAGCAAGATTTTAAACTGTTCATTCTACAGCCGATCTTTCAAACTACTACTCTAATAGCAGAGCAACGAGCAGCTTTTAGTGATTCACGGTCCGTTAAATAAATATTATCAAGCAGCAGTCTAGTAGAGGGAGAGCATACGTCCTAAACAGATAGAGAGGGAGGGATAATGACGTATCTCAATATGTTTGATTAATAATAACTCCCAGGAATGGCCTACTTCAGGATGGTATACGATCTCTAAATTGAGGTTTCCATGTGTGCTTCCCTACTAAAGAAAAATATAAAGCATGTTCTCAAGTGACATTTGTATCGTCGTCGTCCGTGAGAAAATTTTTCTAGCGCGAATTATCGAATTTGTAGCATCTACAAGATGGGCTATTCTCTGGTTCAGTTATGGGTACATCGTAAGTTGATGATGCGGGGAGGAAGAGAAGAAAATCTGGAAAGCTGGTGATGTCTATATTAACGTATAACGTAGATAGTCCAGACATAATCCGAATGTAGATGTTAGTTAAGAGAAAGAAAGTGAAATATTCAGAAAAAAGGTTTCGAAGGGTGTCCATTATATGTCGTGATAGCGTATATTTAACGAATTCACACTAAAGTCTCCACAAACAATAAGAAACTCGTATTCTAGTACCAGTTTGCTTCAAAGAAATGTTTCTGATTCTTCCAAGCCAAATGAATCAGGGACTCGGGTCCGCACGACTTTCTATATCATTGTAGTCAATGAGTCAGAGAATCTGCTATATACTCCTGTAATATTGTGGCACATACGTAAATCAGAGATTGAAATCTTCACGGTAGTCATTCGAGGATGCGCGCTAGAAGAAGACGTATTTAGATTTGAAACCGTGGATGCCAAGAAGACAGTTTGTAGCAAGAGTTGAAATTAAGGATGGTAAAAGACGAAGAGGATGAAAGAAAAATTAAATAAACTGTTAGTTAGATAACCATCCGCAGCCCTTGATAATTTATTCGTATCTTTGACATTTATATGCATACCTTGTTCATCTATCATGTCACGTGTATAAGAACATTTAATAACATCAATAGTTCGTTCGCCAGCATGCCTTAATAATCGTGTAATAATAACTAACATTGAAATTATCATTTTTAGCATTATTATTTTGCATAATATTGAGAGGATGTTGTACATAATGATAACTTTAGACAATGAATATTTATGTTTAAATACTGCACTAATATTTGCCTCTTTTTTTTGTATTTTAAGTTATCATATTTAAATCGATTGATCCAGTTGACATAAACAAGTATTCATGTTGATTTAAATCTTAATCAATGCAATTTTCCTATTATATTAAACATGGCCAATATACTGACATTACCTTATGTGCTACCTTTTATTTCACAATATCTTCCATTATAGGGAGATAGTCCTGATCTTAAACCTTGTACACTACTGATATCAGTGATATTAACAGGGAGAATTGGCGGCTGGGATTGTAATTTTGTTATTAGGTAAACAACGATTGATGAGGACGTTTTGTGTGGTTTTATATACTGTAAGACACGTGGTTCTTGGATAACTTGAAATGGATGAGTAGATAGTGGAGAAAGTGTTGAGATTTTTAAAGAAATAGTAAATGCTTCGAAGATCTGCAGTTTTCATTAAAAACACGTCTCTTGAACGGTAATGTAAATCTGTATTAAGGGAACACGAGTCCAAAGACATCTCATGTCTATTCGAATATCTGCACTGAACTATCCGAATTCAATTTCAAAAGTCGATGTGTCTACTTTTGAATATGTAGTTATTAAGTTCTATTGTATTAACTACGCATATATAGTTTTGTGCTATGTCTCCTTTCTATTCTTCTCTGAATTTCTCTATGTTTTATGTCTACAAGTGAATACGTCAGAATATAAACCGCTGGTTTTGTTTGATAGTTCATAGATGTTTCAACTGCGTGAACGTTTTATGGTTTTCACACTGGAATGTTCAATTTGCGGTATCACACCGGGTGACGTTTGAGATCATAGAAAATGAATTAAACTTCCCATGTGGTCGAAATCGCGATTGTTTTGCCAATTAATCGTAATTTTCTGTAAAATCGTTGACAAATTTCAATTAATCAATGATTTGTTGCCGATTCTGACGCCATGAGTTCCTTATGCTAATAAACGTATAATATTTTGTGGTTGATTTCTGGTTGACATAACTTTATTTTTAATACTCGTTAAATTACAACACTCCAAACTATACTAGATGGCTAGGTTTGAGTGTTTTTAAAACATCTAAATTATTATCAATATATTGATGTTTAACTCTGGATGGTTTCTGTGAGATGCGCGATATAGGAACGTGCGTAGAAAAAAAATAGCTATTGTGTTCAGTTTTGCAATTTTTCTTTTTCAAATTAATTAAATACGAAGTTCAGTCACAAAGCGATTGTGAAATATTGGGCCAAAAGAGCAGAGAAGGCATAAAGCCAAGATTTGAGAAAAAGTGACCGAAAACTACATGTGATTTAATGAAAAAAGTATAAAGCGTGCAAAATTCGAACCCAAAATAAATCGCAAAACTCGAATCCAGTATCTTGTAAAGCATTTTATAATCTATCGAAACGTATGAGGTCTGTGTTGGATCAAGACTATTGTAAGCACAAAGTAATTAAATAGTTCTCTATCACACTTTTCAACAACTGATATCGTATACAATGGAAATGATGGCGGATTTAACTTTTCAAACACCATTTTGTTTAGTATTACATTCTCTATCCAAAGACGATAAAACTAGACCTAAGAAATTCTTTATTTAAAATTTATACTCAAAATACCAGCATGATAAAGTGTCAAAATGATGACATTAAAAAAACATATTTCACTTCTTTCTATAATTTGATCAAGAAATCATGGAGAGCAATCTACTCTACTTTCATTCACACTTTGAGAAGAAAAAATAGAAGTGCGCAAAATTTCGATTTTATAGTCTTCCGTTCTCTATTCATGTTAAATCAGAAAAGTAGAGCAAAAGTTTTGCCTCTAACAGAAATACTAATATAGTAAAGAAGACAATCGATTCATCAGAGTGATGAATAATTCAAAAAGGAAGAAAGGTCACACGAAGTAAATCGATATAGTGTTACAGACAGGTATTTTTTTCTGAAGCCACAAATACTTAAGGTATTTTTTTTCTCGATAGTATTTCTAATGAGATTTTACAGTGTACACGTTCTGAAGAAAAAGTATACAAGTGTAAGTGTGCGTGTCGATCATAAGTACGAGGAATAAAAAAAACTTTATTAATAAGTTATTAAAACTTCATTTGTTTTGAGAAATAAACCTAGAGTGACACAATCATAGTGCTCATAATATTACGCTTTGAAAAGCGCAACTTCCTGTTCAATCTCATCATTAGAAAAACTGATTTCCGATTCTCTGCAAAAAAATTGAAATACGTCAATCATTGTGAGAGACTCAATGCTTCCATGTGATCGTCATACAAGTAGTCATGGGGCAAAAAATAATGTGACAGGCTCATTTTTTTATCCGAGAGAAAAATTAGTACTTGAGAATACTCAGGCCGTGTTTTTGCTGTTCAATACGTTGAGTAGTGTCTGTTTATTGATCCCAAACCACCTGCTTTTTTATTGTTTACAGTGAGAAATTCGAAAGATGAACATCTAGTGAACGAAACTATCACTTTGACTATCTGTTTGTTTGAATTGTTCGTATTGTGAACGAGTTATAATTGATGAATTCATAGGTGTCTTTCTCTGATCGCCTAGAAACAGACTCCACCAAAGTAATTGACTCTGTCTCTCGCATACAATGTATTTTTCCAACACATTTGTACAATGAATGTCTGTGTACAATGAAATAAAACGGTATAACATGGAAAAAATGAAGATTTGTGGACTCATTAAAAAACTTGTGATAAGTGGAAGAAGTAAATTAGTTAATAATAAAAAGATGAAGTAAGAAAAGGTTATCAGATCAACAGACAATCTGGCATTTTTGTTTTACAGAAAAGAGTACACAAGAGGGGTCTGTTGAGATCATTGTTTGACATTTGTTTTCTTGTATCTCTATTATTTATCTTCAAACGCTGACATTAAATGACATTAAATCACATTTGACTTTGAAATAATGACAGTATCTGAACAATACTCATGGCGTTATAAGAGTTCTGCATGTATATTTCTCAAACGATGTTCATAATGCAAGAAGGATAACATCTATCGTATGCAACTGAAGCTTATACAGAATATTTTTGTACTTAAAACTTTGTTTAATGGAGATGAACTTTTATTAGTGCTGTGTTCCCAGTTTTTTTCGTTTGCTATAAAATATTACGAAAAAGATGATGAAGATAAAGATTTCTGGGATTTATAAAAGTTTGATTTAGATCAGCTTTTCTTTAAAAATACTAAGCCTGACTAAATAAGTGACAGTTTAGAAAAGTGTTTGAGTGTAAAATGTTTGTCATTTTTTGCATTGAATATACTTTTAGATGGGATGTCTATTTTCTAATCCAGATACGAGTACTGATATTCTTGAACCACCTAAACCACAATATTCCTGGTAAGCTCAATACCAACTAGAAATAGTGTACACATGAGTTGCTGTTTTTTCCAGGGAAATACGGAGCAAGATTAATAAAAATGATTATATCTTAGATAAATTAAAAGATCAAACAATTTTTCGTGTTCCAGGCACAGTTGATGGTCAACAGTTTATAATTCAAAATTGTGAGGTAGGTTTCTTTGCTTCCTCAAATGGATCTAATCGTTTCTAAAATAATCATAACTTATTTATAGAATTGTACAATTTACATATTTGATCATACGGGACAAGTTCAAATTGATGATTGTAAACATTGTAGAATATTCGTTGGTCCTGTTCATGGCAGGTTATTATAACTGAGTTTGTCTTTCATTATCTATTACTATTTTTCTTCATTTTGTTTTAGTATCTTTATCCGTGATTCTGAAAATTGTAATTTAGCAACTATCTGTCAACAATTTCGCGCGAGAGATTGTCATGAAGTGAATATATTTTTATCTTGTGCAAGTCAACCAATTATTGAATCATCTCATCATATTCGTTTTGGTTGTTTAACATATTTTTATGAGAAATTAGGCGGTAAGTAAAGAATGTAGTTGTTGCAAATCAGAATGATAGTTTAAATGATAGTGGCAGGACTTGTAGAATAAATGTATTTATATTTTTGCAGCTAATGTGTTTTGATACTGAAATTTATTTCAATCAGACCTATAGAGATAATAACAGCAGCTGTTATTATCTCTATAGTTTTAAAATTTTTATCCGTCAATAAACGTATCAATCAGAGCTTTCAAATCGACAGATTCATCTTCAGCGAAAAAACTTGTACATCTGTGAAGAACGCTGTCATTTGGGAATTTTAAGTAACATCGTATAAACATTCAATCTTAGTTGACTGCTAAACATGATTAACACAGAACGCTGCAAGAAAAGAAGACTAGTTTAAGTCCAGGGGTGTAATCAGTATCAAAAATACGATACTGGTACCGGTCACCGATATACAAACTTCGTACCGGTCGGTATACCGGTGATCTGTCGATACGGGCTTGTCTTGATCATATTTTGCCTAAATACGAATACTTTTTCCTTGTTTTTCTCTACTGTGAACTTTATTTTATGTTATCAAAGGGATCCATCAATCTTTTCACTTTTATTATGTATAGCTGATTTTTCACACGCTTTGTTTTACGAAAACAGCAATCCAATTCAATCTTTTAAAGTAAGAAGTTTATATAAGCCGACAAAGTTTAAGTAATTGAAATGAAATTTTAGTAGAAATATATCACAGATGGACTGAATTTACACGATGTTTTTCGAAATAGTCGTATCATATCACAAAATATCAGCAATATCGGCCGACTGATTATACTTCATACTAATACCAGTATACCGTATTACCAGTATAGGTATCCTCTGATTTAATCAAATTTTATTTAAATTTGGTAATGTTTTGATTAATTTAAGCTGATTATCCAGTGGTGTTGGACTTTCTTCACCTTAATAAATGCGATCTTTCAAAGTTATTTGATATTTTTGTTTCTTATGTTTTTTAATTTTCACCTTGATCTGTTTTATCTGTATATCTAAGATTTACCTAAAAAGTCCTAATCGAAATCAGATCATATTTTATCTGGTTTGTATGTCTTAGCAGTTAATATTGAAAGTCATTGTATTTCGTTTTTTCTCAGATATAACGAATAGAAGTGCGAATGGAATTCATTTCAAATCATTTATATCGTACATACCACTTAAGACAGTTATGAAATTATGTTTCCATTCGAAATTATGTTATTTTTATCGCTACTTGTACTTTTCAAACAAGAAATATAAACTCTTGTATGCAGTAAAACCTGTATTATGATTTTAAAAGTCAAACTTAAGTTATGATCAGTAAAAGAGTGAGATGTTACACATAAGAAGCCTGTTTTCGAGAAAATAAGTTTTTTCATTATAACTGATTTACGTTAATGCCAATTTATCTAACATTATGATAACGGTCACACTACATCCTTGATTGTGTTTAAAATTAATTATGAATAAAGTTAAACGTGATTAACAATTTTATAGTGTGATCACATCCTTTTCTAATCACGATTCAAGGCTAATCGTGATTGAAAACAGCAAATAAATACGAAAATTGAATTAGCATTTGCTCATTTTTCTGTTAATCGAGTGAATGGTGAACTTTGTTACTCTACTGAGTATTATTAAACAAAGAAATATATTTACAATGAAGGGAAGAAAACATGTTCCAGGTCTACGATATGTTGCTGGGTATTCTCCGTTGTTAAATTATTTGACAAAAACTGTTTGACAACGTCAAAAAAAACAAATTTTTTCAATGTTTTTCTAATTTGTTTGGTACGCATGAATCTAATCATGACTAATGCTAAATCGTGATTTCGTCAATCATCTTTTAATCATGAATAAAGTTAATCGCGAATCACAATTAATTTTCAATGAGTCTGCGGCCATAATCATGACTAACTTCATTCATGATCAGAATTCCGGATTAACTTTGAGAGGGGGAGGGGGCTATTGGCAGATAACAGGTCTGAAAATACAGAAAGTCAGCTTTTTTCCTGTCGAACTAACTAATAAAAATCTTAATCTAACGGGCATGTAGAAAATACTAAAATATCGTCGTTACATTATGTAACTTCTCGTAAATTGAAGTCTCGCTTGTTGAAGTATATTAGACCAAGAAAGAAAAAGAAAGATATACCTTATTTGATACCGTTCTAATAGTAATTTAAATAGAAAAAGAGAAATAAGGTGTACAATTGACGTTTTACCATTAAGCGACACAGAAAGGTTGAAAAGTGGACGTTATTGACTTTTTCAAACTCTGCAATTATTATTATTATTGTTATTGGTTTAGTCAAATTGCTGCAATAGAGCGAATAATATATCACACTGTGACTAGCGCAAAAAAATCCTTCGTTTATCAGCAAGTCATCGAAAAGTCTAAAGAATTTTTTTCACAGAAAATCATCAAATTTGGAAGGAGAAAGCACCTCGATTTATGCATACCGAACAAATTTTCATTATTGTCAAATTTCTGAACATCGATTTCAAAAAAATGATTTGTTTTTCTGACGTTGCCAAACAGATCTTGTTAAATAATTTTGAATTTCTTTGTCTCGGATGAATAGTATAGGGTAAAAACTGAATAGTCATTCTACACTATCATTGTGATCAACTTCAATTATGCAAAATTTTCTAAACATTTCTTTTCTTCATTCTAGAACATTATGCAACAGCTGGTATCAGTCCGTACAATAATAATTGGAGTAATATTCATGACTTTACACCTGTTCCAGACAGTAAAAACTATTCACTTATGGATGATGTAAGTATATTATTTTGTGAAAACTTTCAAGGACATGTCCGATTTCCGAAGGAAATGGAAGTTTGAAGTATAAAAATTTAGGTACGAGTTGAGACAGTTTAAAATCCCATTTTGTTTACAACATCTTAAATTTTTGCGCTTACAGCATCTTAAAACTGTGTTTACAACTATATATATATTCTTATTAGGTGCAAGAAGTTCACTGGGAAGTTTTTACATTTTTTCTTCACAGAAGCAACGCTGACACTTTTTGTGTTACTTTCTTTACAATAATGTTATACTTTGTTTGTTTTAAGTCCGAAACAGTCTTCAAGCATATACCGGCACCCACTGATCCATCATGTAGTCATTTGAATATAAGTGATAGCCAAGATCAGACTATAACACCGTTTTCATATGGCGAATTATATCGTGAACATAACGTCGAGGTATGACTAAATTACCTTGTTTATTTTAAAATAAGAATATATTACTATATGATTGTTTCTAGCGTTGTTTTGTCGTACTATTCCATGAGGCCAATTATGATGTTTGTGCTCGTGAACTGATTAAAATGCTTCGACCGTTGAAAGTAAAACTACAAATTGGTGTACATTTTCTTCTAATAAGATTCATTTTTTTCTTCTAATTTAGATTGTTCTTGTACAAAGTAAATGTTACACTATCAACGAATTGAGTGCTGATCGAATATTTAATAATCGATCTTATAATACTCTCGTAACAAAAGGTATGCACGATGAATTTTTGTTTTGTTGTTGTATAACTCAATGTGTTTAAAATAGAAAAATTTAATTATTTTTCTTTTTTAATAGGTCCTGTTATTGGTCTAGAGTTGGGTGGTCCGGGTAGTGTCGTTATTTGTCAACAATCTGTTAACAGTTTGCTACCCAAATTTCCTAATATACACTGTAAATTGTTCTCATAGTATAAAAAATCGTTTAAACATTATGATTTTAATTGTAGATTTTGTTAGTCAAAATTCAACAGATGCTGTTCAACAACTCGATAAATTTTATAATTTTGCAAGCATGCAAATGTTTAGTTGATTTTGATTTAAAATCCATTCTATCTTCTCGTTCATAACGACTGAATATTCTAATTCAAATTGACAATGACTACTTTATACGTACTGTTCTCAGGGGCGTACCTGCTGGGAGATGGTGAAGAGGTGGTTACCACCTCCCTGGTTTCAGAAAAAATCATTGTTTTGTGTCTTTCGTTCTGCAAAAAAGAACATTTTTTTGGAAGAACGAAAAATTTTTTCTATTTGGAGATACTAGCTACGCTCCTGATCGTTCTTTGTTGTTATATTATCTGTACTTATTATCATCCTTTAAAACTGTTAGAATACAATATCTTCCTCTTGTTTTAACTTTTTCTTTTTGTGAGAGTATTTTTAACGAATGAATATTTTTTAAATGAAACGAATGCAAAATAACTTTTAGGTTTTTCTACCTATTTATCTTATTCTTGAAACAACTGACATACAATTTCCGTCCAGATTTTATATGAAAGAGTCTCATTATCGCCGTCCATGCTCCTTTTTTAAAAGCATGTATGAAAAATCTTTTCTTTTTTCCATTGTTCTGCTTTCAGTTTTGCGCAACATAAATCGTATACAATGTACTTACCAACATCTTTTATTGTTTTAATAGTGAAGATCTGTTGTTTAGTCTAAATAACTGTGTGTTTTTATTAATTTATTTTCTTAATGTAATGACACTTTTTTTCTTGTCAATTGTAATTCCAAAAAATTTTATTCATATTTCCGAGAATTATTATTTTTTTTCAATAATTTTTCTATTGTTGTCAATAAAGTATTCATCATTTATTCATATAAAAAAATCGAGAGATACAACTATTCAAGAGTTGTTTGTCGATCAAAACTTGAGATCAACAGTTGTGGATAACGTATTTCTACTTAAAAAAAGAATATCTAAAGGAGTAGAACGACACTTCTCCTTTAGACGGTCAAGATTGCGAAGATTTAGTTTGTTTTCGATTTTCTTTCCTCTATGATGTAATAGGACCACGCTTTTATTGGACATTTCTCTTTTGTAGATCGCAGTATGACTGTCATTTAGTTGAATGAGATATGTCTGCCGGTATTGCGCTAAGCGATAAACTCGAGTCTAATGAATATGAAGAAAAAATTGTTAATGAATTTGGCCATCTACTAGAGAAATCGAAACAGTTATTCAACGGACTAAGGTATATATTTTATTTCAAGCTTTATCTGAATTTTATTGTTTTGTTTTTTTTGTTTGTATAGAGATCTTCCTCAATATGGACATAAACAATGGCAGCCATATTTTGGAAGAACATTCGATATTTATACAAAATTATGGAAATTTCAACAACAACATAGGTAGAATGGTTATATTAATCATCTTTTGATAATTAAAAGAATTTTTCTTTCTTTCAGAGTTATATTGGATAGTAAATATGGACTAAAACGTTGGCAAATTGGTGAAATTGCATCTAAAATTGGTCAATTATATTATCATTATTATATTCGAACAAGTGAAACAAACTATTTGAATGAGGCATTCGCATTTTACTCAGCTATTCGTACACGAGCATATTATTCAAAAGTAAATAAAGAAGAAAAACCTGATTTAATGGTGAAAAAATTACGTTATTATGCACGATTTATTGTTGTTTGTTTATTATTAAAAAAAACAAAAATTACACGAGAACTTGTACGGGAATTAAATCGACAAGTTGATGAATATGTTAAATCATATGATCCAGATGATCGTCTTGAATGGCAATTAGTTCTAAATGAAATTACAACGTTTATTGATGTAGACAATTATTTAAATGTAGATCAATTACCAATTACATTATCAAATCGTTTAACAACAAATGTTATACCACCATTACCTGATCAAAATAAATTATTAGCCATAATGCCTAGTGCAAATCAAAATTTATTTATTCTAGAAGAAATATTAATTATTGGAAATTATCAAGATCAAATTAAATTTAGTGAATTAACATTGGATATGTTTCGTCTTTTACAAGCTGTTGAACGTGAGCCAACAGAATCCAATTATGGTGAAAGAAGTTTACAGTCACCCGCTCCATCAACACATCATCGAGATTTATATGTAAGTATACAGATGTAAACAATTGAATATGAAATTTATAATTTTTGTCATTAAATTCTCTTTGATATTAAACTTCAGATTAATTTTATACGTATTTTAACTGTTTTATTTTAGTTATGTGATGTCGACGGTCGAGGAGATCATTGTTCATCAAATCGCTATAATCCGCACAAATATTTACTATATAAACCAACATTCAGTCAATTATATGTTTATTTAGGTACATATCATATATGTATTGTGAATAGGAAACTTATTTTCTCTATCATTTCAGCATCCGCATTTAAAGAACTTCCATCAAATGGTGCTTTATTATTGTACATATCAGCAGATGGTTATGATGGACATTCAAAAGTAAAAGTTGAACAATCGTATGATTTTGGAGGTTGTAAAACAAACAGTCGACGAGAAGATAGTTTAGAAAATAGTAATAATATTCCATTAACATCATCTACGACAATATCAAATCCGGGAACAAATCAAACATCATCATCACAATCTAAAAAATCTGTTCAAACAATAAAAGAAGTTCACTGGTAAATAACAATCCTTGCTTTTTCCACTTACATATCTTTTTCATGTGATTTTTCATTTAGTATTTATCCTGGCGATATTTATCCATGTTTACGTAAACCATTGTTTCTTATTGTCGATAGTAATAATAGTGTGGCATTTCAAAATATGCCAAATCTATTTGGACAACCACTTGTTTCATTGTTGTCACCTGTAAAACTTCCAGCTGTATTTCATGGTAAAAATTAATTTTTCTTATCAAATACATGAACTATATTATATATTTTTTTTCATTTTAAGATTATCAAAATAAAGGCAGTTTATTTACATTATTTTTAACATCTCCTGCACTGGCATTTTGTTTTGTATGTAATATTAGTGAATTGAGTACAGATTTGTGGGATAAATGTCAAGAACATGTCAATAGAATTATTTTTGAAGTGGCAAAAATATTTTTAAAATCAAAATTGGTTGGTAAGTGTAATTATTTATTGCTCTTTAAAGAAAAGATTGTTTAATATTTTTTTTCTCTTTAGATAGTACATTTTATCATTTTTTTGGCGATGATTTCTTACGATTATTTTTAACCAGATTTGTATTTTGTTATGCCGTACTACGATTACATAGAGCATTCAAGGTAAATATTATTAATTGATTTGATCGTCTATACATTGCCTATACATTAACTTTATTTTTATTTCTTGAAGGGTACTGGATTTTATCCATCATCTCAACCGGCATTATCTAATGATTTATTAGAAAATGTTCAAGTTCATAAAATGATACTGGAATTGTCTTCTTTGCTCAATGTTCGACAACTATTTTTGGATGCCTTGGAATCTGTTTAATGAATGAATGAATGAATGGTAGCTGAATGGGTGGATAAATGAGAAATTAGTTTTAATGTTTTGTTTTTGTCAATCCCACTATATATTTGGAACATTTTACAACGAATCTGACAAAATATCTCAAGCAATATTATGTGTGTGTAAATAGACATATGTAATTGCGTTCTTCCTAATTTTGGACATCAACTTTTTTTTAGTTTAACTTTGTTTTATTGTACTATATTTATGCACTTTTTTTTTGTATTTCTTTCATTTATTAAGCAAACACATCTAATCTAGTCAGTTGTTCACATACACATAACATCAATTTTTAAATTTCTTCATAAAACTATTGGTGAATAGTGCATATTCTTTTTCACGCACGGGAGACAGCCAACTTAAATAGTGTACAATAGTCTAGTATGTGAGTTTTTTTTATCACTTTTTTTTGCAAATAGAATCTTTTATGTATGTGAATAGAATAGAGTTATCGCCGAATCTAGTCGTTTTTAATGAACTTATCATTGTATACTTTTGTATACACACAAGATATTCCTTTATACAAGTTAATGTAAGATGTCAAGCTCGTAATATTTATTAGTATTAAAATGATTCAAGATGATTTCTAAGTGTTTTATTTATCGATTATATTATGATTATTGTTTTGTTTTGGACAATACGTCAAAAAATACTCGCCTGCATAATACTCCGTTTGTTTCTGTTTTTTTTTTGTTGACATTTTTTCTCATTGATGTGTGCCGTTTCTTTTGTTTTCGATATAGCATATAATGTTTTTGTTTCCTGTACCATTCATTTTATTCATTTCCTGCTTTACTCAGTGAAAAAATCTGCTCTTACGATTCTATACGTACGTGTAAATTTGATATCAATAATAAAATGTGCGAAAAACTAGACTTTGGCAAGCCTGTTGACTTCTCTATTCTGTCCTTTATTTAAATATCAATAAATGTTTTATCTACTGATGGAATCAGTATCTGGATTGGTATACGAATGTAGTTACTTGATATTGTAAGGCATCTCGACTTACAATACCAAAGTTGATATGATAGAATACAAAGTTGGCGAGTAATACATTTTAAAAAATGGTAATCAGTCAAAACTGATCATCAATTTGCTAATTAGTACTAAAAGTCGACTTGAGAGTT